ACTAATTCTATAAGATAGCCTCTACTTTGTACATAAAATATTAGTTTGCATTGTTAAATCCCAGGCATTTGTACAGTTCTCAATAGATTAATGTTTTTACCCAATCATGTAAACTTTTAGGACTCATTCTAAACTAATTTGCTATCATTAGTAATAGAAGCAGCAGTGATATAGTTAGCTTTACTGGTGTTATTATGATTGTACAGATCTGTCTTGCATCGACTCATAATGTTTCTTCCAAAACTTTAATCCAATGACCGATATTTTAAGGTAATCCAGGTGAAAAGTTCATTTTACTGGATTTTCTAAATTATCACAATTAGGAACTGACCCCAGCATTGCTCATCCACAGAAGAATTAAAGTCATTTATTTTCATTCTGATTTTACACGACTTTTGATTAAGATTTTGCTTATCCCCAAATATGTGTTAATTCTCTGTTTCTAGAACAGATTAACTTAATTTCATAGAAGATCCCTTAATCTGAGGACATATTAAAAGTGGGATAATCCAGGTCTTTTGTTTTAGTTCAGGGGTGAGTTATCATTCTTACCAAATTTTATAATCTCTTTTCTTGCAAATATACAAGCCCAAATAAACATATATATCAAGCAAAGGTTATTTAAAGAGCATAATACAGTATTTCTTTAAGAAAATGTAGCTGTTATTTGGCAAGCAATCTAATTTTATCTTCAATTCTAACCAATTTGATAAAAATATTTGAATAATAGGAAAGATTTGACATTTTCTTTAGGATTGGAAACTTTTGCCAGACACTGAAGGAAACACCTTTTAATGAGTCTGTCTTTATTAAGTGTCAGATTTGGATAAAATGATTTAAGATGTCATGAATATGTCAGGTTATCTTTAGTAGAGTGAGAATAATTTTACAATGAAGAAGAGTAGAAAACATTTACACCAATTTTTTCCTTACGTCTGTCAGTCCCTTATTAAATTTGCTCAAGTAGACAAAAATTAAAAACTGTTAAAAAAACTGGAGCTTCGACTCAAGTAGGGGAATCCAATAAAAATAAAATTTCAAGTAATAAAAATATGTTTGATAAAAAAACAACTAAAATCCATTAATTCTTTAAAAATTGCTTTGTTTACATTTTGGATATGACATTGAACAGATAGAGCTTTTGATAAAAGTGAATGTGTATAAAGGCAAATAGAACCTTGCTTGACTGCGAATGTCTCCGTGGCTGAGCAGTCGAAGTATGCCTGAACAGATGGTAGTTACTCCTGTAAAGAAGGATGCAGATTCAAATCATGCTGGAGGACACAATTTCTTGACTGAACATGCCAGTAGACAAAATAAACAAGGTTAAAATACTGGCATCTACTCAATAGGGGTATCCGTATAAAAATAACATTTGAAATAATATATATATATATATATATATATATATATATATATATATATATATTAGATATTAAGGACATCGGGCTGTATAGAGATGACGGGCTCATGTCAGTGAGGAGTTCTACTAATTTTAAAATAGAGAAAATTAGAAAGATTATATATAGTGAATTTAGAAATCTAAATTTAAAAACAATAGTCTGTACTAAATTAAAAAGGGTAAGCTTCCTTGACGTAACTCTAGATTTAACAAACAACACACACCTACCTTATAGAAAACCTAATACTAACCCCTTATATATACGCCCAAAGTCAAACCACCCTCCATCTATAATTAAACATATAGCCTCATCAATAGAGAATAGAATCAGCATTAACTCCGCTAATAAAGAAATATTCCAACAACACAGTAACTTTTATAACGCAGCCCTAAAAAATAGTGGATACAAAAATGCTAACATCAATTATAGAAACAATTGTACTAACCAGAAGAAAAACAGGAAAAGAAAAATCATTTGGTATACCCCTCCGTTCAACCAAATGGTTACTATTAAGCTAGGACAGAAATTCCTAGCTTTAACTGAAAAACACTTTCCTACCAATAGTATTAATTCAATTTAATTCAAATAATTATATTGAAGTTTTCGGCTCTTGTTTTGAAACATGAGAACTCTTATGTAGCGTTGGAATCATATTTTTAAATAAATAATTGTATATATATATATATATATATATATATAAAATATGACAAACTGGACTGGTATTTTTTACGTGTTTCATTCATTAGGATTTCATCAGACTGGGCTTTCAAGTTTGTCATTTTTTTTTCTCAATACTGTTTGTTGATATATAAAATTATACAAAATTGGAGAGCTGAGTTTGAATTCCTCCAAATTCATTATATTCTCTGATGTACTAATACCCTTGGGAAAAGTATGAATCCATTTCTTCTTCCTCTAGTTATGGGTAAAGAGCAGGACTGTCTGGGTTCAATATCCTTGGTTTAGCTTTGGTCTAGGAGAAAGACAACTTTGAATTCAAAACCTGTAGAGGGTTGTTTGGTGACCTTGTGGCATACGGTGCATCAGGTCTCTGTATTTGGTACTTCAAAAAATATGGTTGGTTCTACACAAGCCTTCACCACTATAATCAAATGACGTGTGGGTAGTATGGCTGTTGGTTGTAAAAGAACTGAGCTACTTGACCCTCTTACCATGAAAACAAATTCCGACTGATGCCATTTGGTTGGGTTTCAGTCTCGGCTTGAAGCAATCAGTTGTCTAGCCACACTGATACAACGAAACAGGCCTGTATGTTGATGACATTATATATATATATATATATATATATATATATATACACACATATTACACACATATATATATATATATATATATATATATATATAAATATACATACACATATATATGTGCACATATAAATACACAAACACACGCAGGATGCACACATACACATATATAAATATACATACATACATACATACATACATATATATATATATATATATATATATATATATATATATATATTAATGCATATCTTCATTCAAGCATGTGTCATTGAATGATATAGACATATTATATCTATTTACTTTTATAATAATCTTTTCTAGTTCCCTAATTAGCTTCTTGATGTTAAATTGAAATTCATCAAAGAAAGGCACCATAGTTTTACTATATATATATATATATATATATATATATATATATATATATATATATATATATATATAATAAAAGCAAGTGTTTTTTTTAATGCTCACCTAATATATGGTACAATAACCACTCTACCTTGAGTAGCTCTTGGGGGTTATCAAATTACGTTCATAATATGATTGTAAGATGAGAGAGTAGAAAGTGACGGTTATAAGTCTCTATAGGATTGATAATCATTGACCCTATAATTGAAGTGGTTAAAATTTTAAAAGGATCCTGAAGCAGTCTGTTTGGAGGGGAATGCTTTACTTAACAAGGGAATATGTAAGAAATAAGGGTGATTCAACCCTATGGATGTAGTAATATGGATCTTTGTTGTGACAATATGAGCTGATGCTACTAAAGAATGGAGCTAGTTAGATCATTTAAGAAGTAGGGACAATGTAAGCTTTTTACATTACATCTGAGAGAAAAAGGTTGTAACAAAGCTGTAAAAATTGAAGATTTGCCAGTTCCTGGGAAGTTGCAAGGTTATTTTTTAATAAAAATAATTTCTAAAACTTAGATCTCAATATTAAAGCCGACTACAGGTAATCATTAACACATTTTGGATTTTACAAAAACTTATTCCAAACATGGGATGTAGAAATTTGCAAGGCGACTTTTGAATGAATATATTTTCCAAAAATAAAATCAATTTGCAATCGTTTAATAGTAATACCGATGCCAGTCTGACTGACGGTTGTAGGGTTTGGATATTTTTGTACTCTAGATTCCAAGATTATGTTCTAGAGAAAATGAATTCAAGTCGGTAATTAAGATGGAAAGAATTAATCTTGTTGCTTTCATTAACCTTTATCTCAGCCAATCAAATTTTATTTGAGATTTGTACCATAATTTTAGATAAGCTGATAAGGCCATACAATGATTAACCCCTTAACTTCAAATCCAGAAAATAAACTCTTTACCTAGTTTTTCCTAATCTTGCCTTTCGGATTAACACAGTTCTTTTGTTAATACTCTGATCCAGTAGAGATAAAGATTATCTTCACAGTTTATTTCACTTTCAAAGCACATTGTTAAATTTTCCCTTGTTTTAGCAATTTGGTTGGAACAAAATCTTGGAAGTGAATTTCAAAGATCATATTTAGATATTGGGCATAGATTTATTCAACCTTATATATGCCATTTTCTTTAACTAACTTTCATCATTTTTGAGGCAGCTTGATGATTTCATCCTCCTGGATCTTGGCAAATTTCTGGGTGATGAACTATCCTCTACTTTTACAAGAGCCAGATCAAGCCAAAAATAGAGTACATTAAAAAATGTCCCAGACAAATCATTTTTCTAAGCTCCAACCTCTTTCTCACAGACAGGATGTAGTGAACCTCCTACTACTCTATCATTACTTCCATGGAAAGCGTTCCATTCCTTGATTCCAGCAGGCCTAACCTTCATGGCAAGGACACACCATGTCACTTGCATTGTTGCAAAATACATACATTCCCTCTGTACTCCATCAGTGAGAAGAAAGTTCCATTCAAACAGCTATTTCCTGACATCCACTGTTCTGTGGAACAGACACTTAAGAGGATATTTCCCCACTCACTACACCGTTAACCTCTTCAACCCTAGAGTTAACCATTATCTTCCCCTCCTATCTGTATAAACTACGCCTTAACGTAACTCTGTAATTAACCCATATCTGAGTGGGGAAATGAGGTGGATTCATACCTTTCCCAAGGATATTTCCACGTAAGTAAATATAATGAAACCAACTGGAATTGGAACTTGGCTCTCTGATTAACAATTCTGAGACATTAGCTAGAGGAGAAGAGGTTGGATTCATGCCTTTCTCAAAGGTATTTGTGTGTAAGTGACTAAGATAAACCCATGAAACTCGGCTCTCCAATTAACGATACTGGGCCATTATCCATTAAACCACCGGCACATCCAAACTTATAGCACCTGATATTCCGAAGCAGTCACCCATCTGAGTACTGACCAGGCTCAACATTGCTTCACGTCAGTGGTCATAAGGAACAAGTGTTTTAACATGATATGGCTGTAAGCCTGTCATTTTTGCTGTTTGTATAGAGAATTGCAAATGGAAATGTGGTTCAATAAATTTATTTTTTGTTAAATCATGAGGTACCCAAACATAATGTTGGCCTGTTTTCTAATGCCTTAGAATGTTTTAATGTTAGAATGTCCTTGATCTTCTAGATCCTCTTCTGAAACTAGCAAACTCTTACAAACAATACTCTCAGCTATGGTACCATTTCTATAAATGGCACATAACATTTTTGCTGTTTCTACAGCATTTCCCCCTTTCCACAAATAAAAGAGAATCAAATAACAAACGTTCATCTCATTTTCTTTCATTTTCACTTTTAACACAAAAATGTTTAAAAAAAAAACTATTATGTAAATTTTTGTAACTTTGTATAATATTTATGCATTACACCCTAATCTTTATTCGGTAAAAATTTTATTGCTAATCATGCATTACTTTTTAAGTAATACACATATTTATGTCTTTGTTGTTTCCATTCCTTATGTTATGGCCACTACTATATATATATATATATATATATATATATATATATATATATATATATGTCATAAATTTCTGTAGTGTGTTAAAAATCATATGTTTAAATTATTGAAAAATACTACAGTAAATAATTTTATTAAGAAAAGAATTATTATAAATAAAACTATTTTTTGCTCCAATCCAATTAACTTCAATTGTTTAAATTCATGTTTATCCTGATATAATTCTAATTTATTTTTGTTAAAGTAAAATTTTATTTAATTTTTTTTTTTTGTGCTTGAGGTTTTCAATTTTTGGTTTTTGCATTATAATGCTGATTTAATTTGTTGATGATCTTTCACTTTGAAAAATTTATTCCTTGTTAAAATAATTATTTATTCATTTATTGCTACATATTTAAAAAAAAATGCCATAATATATTCTTTGATATTTTTTGTGTCTGTGTGGAATCATCTTTACAATTAACTTTGGCCAAACATACACAAATTGAAAGACATGGAAACAAAATATGAAAAGAAATAAAGGATATTTTTACACAACATTGGTGCAGTTCACTTGAAATTGCCTTAATATTTAGGTGTTATCAAATTTTTCCAGCATCCTAATTAAGATATGTGTGTCCGTCAACCTTAAACAATAATCTTTTTCAATTTTATTTTTCAGTCTTTGTGATGGTTGATACTTGATCTATCTCTTACTGTTACATCCCCGGGCAATGCCGGGCTCTACTGCTAGTTATTAATAAAAACAAGAAAAAGTGGAAAGAACCTTTGAGCAATGTCTGCATTGGTTTCAAAATCTTCAACAGACTGGCTATTCATAATGGTCTTCATGAGCCTAACTGATAAAAAAAGATTTGATGATTGCATAAATTCTTCTATAGGTGCTATATCTGGAGAGTTTGCGGTGCAACCCCTTATGTTACCCAATATCAAAGTCATGTGACACAGGTACCATCAAGAACTTCACTGATTCTATGGGTGATGACTTAACTTAAAAGAGTGAAATCCATATGGTTTGTCACTCAGGAGATTATTTCGACACTGGTGTTTGAACATAGATTGCCAGAGAGCAAACACAGGTGATCCCATTATTGAATTAGGAAGATCAAGTGCTTTGGATTAACCCATAAAAGGGGGTTTGGTTAATCTTAAAGGAACTTTAATTAAAGCTAATATAAATACAAAAAAATTAACTGTTACTTTCTTTTCCTCTCAAGGGTATAAGTTGCTGGAGAAATAAATAAAAATTCTATGACTGCTAGTGTGACTATTCCTAGTAATAATGGCACAAAGAAGGTTGCACTTTCCATAGGGGGTGCTGAAAAGTTATCAGCCTGATCAAGAAGAAATCAAAATATTCTGATGTTTAGTTATTTGGTCAGATTTTGGGAAGTGGGTCAGGCTTAGACTTTTTCAGCTCCCCCAGTATTTGACTTAACTTAAAGAAGAGAAATCTATATTGTTTGTCACTCAGGAGATTATTTCGGGTGAGGTGAACAATAAGCTCTTTCTTGATTACAGACACAAGTTGTTGCTAATAGCACAAATGAAGTTGATGGAATGAAAACACAGATATTATGAATGCTCACCAGCATTCTTGAAAAAAGGATAAACAGAAGATATCTTCCACAGGATGTAGAATCAATTTAAAATGACCAGAGAATTGTGAAGTAGTTTGTGTTATATAGGAATAAAGTGTCACTGCTGACACTGGAGTTTGAACATAGATCGCTAGAAAGAGCAAACACAGGTGATTTCATGATTGAATTAAGATTACGTAACCATAAATGAAATGTAAATATAGGAATTAGTGTGATTTCTAAAGGATTTCCATTTCTATTCTATTCTCTATTACTATTCAGATCACCATTTCTACTCTATCCTCTATTACTATTCAGATCTTCATTTCTACTCTATCCTCTATTACTATTCAGATCTCCATTTCTACTCTATCCTCTATTACTATTCAGATCTCCATTTCTACTCTATCCTCTATTACTATTCAGATCTCCATTTCTACTCTATCCTCTATTACTATTCAGAATTCCATTTCTACTCTATCCTCTATTACTATTCAGATCTCCATTTCTACTCTATCCTCTATTACTATTCAGATCTCCATTTCTCTTCTATCCTCTATTACTATTCAGATCTCCATTTCTATTCTATCCTCTATTACTATTCAGATCTCCATTTCTACTCTATCCTCTATTACTATTCAGATCTCCATTTCTACTCTATCCTCTATTACTATTCAGATCTCCATTTCTACTCTATTCTCTATTACTATTCAGATCTCCATTTCTATTCTATCCTCTATTACTATTCAGATCTCCATTTCTCTTCTATCCTCTATTACTATTCAGATCTCCATTTCTCTTCTATCCTCTATTACTATTCAGATCTCCATTTCTACTCTATCCTCTATTACTCTTCAGATCTCCATTTCTACTCTATCCTCTATTACTATTCAGATCTCCATTTCTACTCTATCCTCTATTACTATTCAGATCTTCATTTCTACTCTATCCTCTATTACTATTCGGATCTCCATTTCTACTCTATCCTCTATTCCTATTCAGATCTTCATTTCTACTCTATCCTCTATTCCTATTCAGATCTCCATTTCTACTCTATCCTCTATTACTATTCAGACCTCCATTTCTACTCTATTCTCTATTACTATTCAGATCTCCATTTCTACTCTATCCTCTATTACTATTCAGAATTCCATTTCTAATCTGTCCTCTATTACTATTCAGAATTCCATTTCTACTCTGTCCTCTATTACTATTCAGATCTCCATTTCTACTCTATTCTCTATTACTATTCAGATCTCCATTTCTCTTCTATCCTCTATTACTATTCAGATCTCCATTTCTCTTCTATCCTCTATTACTATTCAGATCTCCATTTCTACTCTATCCTCTATTACTCTTCAGATCTCCATTTCTACTCTATCCTCTATTACTATTCAGATCTCCATTTCTACTCTATCCTCTATTCCTATTCAGATCTCCATTTCTACTCTATCCTCTATTACTATTCAGATCTCCATTTCTACTCTATTCTCTATTACTATTCAGATCTCCATTTCTACTCTATCCTCTATTACTATTCAGAATTCCATTTCTACTCTATCCTCTATTACTATTCAGATCTCCATTTCTACTCTATCCTCTATTACTATTCAGATCTTCATTTCTACTCTATCCTCTATTACTATTCAGATCTCCATTTCTACTCTATCCTCTATTACTATTCAGATCTCCATTTCTACTCTATCCTCTATTACTATTCAGATCTCAATTTCTCTTCTATCCTCTATTACTATTCAGATCTCCATTTCTACTCTATCCTCTATTACTATTCAGATCTCCATTTCTACTCTATTCTCTATTACTATTCAGATCTCCATTTCTACTCTATCCTCTATTACTATTCAGAATTCCATTTCTACTCTATCCTCTATTACTATTCAGATCTCCATTTCTACTCTATCCTCTATTACTATTCAGATCTCAATTTCTCTTCTATCCTCTATTACTATTCAGATCTCCATTTCTACTCTATCCTCTATTACTATTCAGATCTCCATTTCTACTCTATTCTCTATTACTATTCAGATCTCCATTTCTACTCTATCCTCTATTACTATTCAGAATTTCCATTTCTCTACTCTGTCCCATTTCTCTATTCTATTATTCAGATCTCCATTTCTACTCTATCCTCTATTACTATTCAGATCTCAATTTCTCTTCTATCCTCTATTACTATTCAGATCTCCATTTCTACTCTATCCTCTATTACTATTCAGATCTCCATTTCTACTCTATTCTCTATTATATTCAGATCTCCATTTCTACTCTATCCTCTATTACTATTCAGAATTCCATTTCTACTCTATCCTCTATTACTATTCAGATCTCCATTTCTACTCTATCCTCTATTACTATTCAGATCTCAATTTCTCTTTCTTCTATCCTCTATTACTATTCAGATCTCCATTTCTACTCTATCCTCTATTACTATTCAGATCTCCATTTCTACCTCTATCCTTCCATTTCTATTACTATTCAGAATTCCATTTCTACTCTATCCTCTATTACTATTCAGATCTCCATTTCTACTCTATCCTCTATTACTATTCAGATCTCCATTTCTACTCTATCCTCTATTACTATTCAGATTCCATTTCTATCTCTATCCTCTATTACTATTCAGAATCCATTTCTACTCTATTCTCTATTACTATTCAGATCTCCATTTCTACTCTATCCTCTATTACTATTCAGAATTCCATTTCTACTCTATCCTCTATTACTATTCAGATCTCCATTTCTACTCTATCCTCTATTACTATTCAGATCTCCATTTCTACTCTATCCTCTATTACTATTCAGAATTCCATTTCTACTCTGTCCTCTATTACTATTCAGAATTCCATTTCTACTCTATCCTCTATTACGATTCAGATCTCCATTTCTACTCTATTCTCTATTACTATTCAG